GTTCACTGAAACAGGCACTGTGACTCTTCACAAGCTCGGAGCCTGTTTCCCAAGACTCCACCCACCCTTTTGTGCAAGCGGCAACACTGTGTGACGGATAGCCGTGGCAGAAGAAAATATGCCACATTACTTTCAAGACAGATCTTGTATTTGAAACAATTCTATTCCCGCAGCTATGCATGTGGAGTTAGAGAATAGAGGTCAAGAATACAGATATAGGATTTTATTATATATATTAATTATACATCATCGACATACAGTTATTTATTATCATAAAAATAAACAATATAAATTTAAGCTATTCCATTGAAATAAAAAAAAATAATTGTATATATATTATGTAGCTTTTAAACATATTTTTTAAAACCAAAAATAAACAACATACAATTACAGCATAATAATAAAACAAGATGCACAACATTATTCACTGTAGTAATTTCATCAAGAGCAGCTCTAACTGCAATACTAGTTTCTTGTAATTCAGAATTCTGTTTTGTTATTGCATTTTCTCTGCCATTTAAGTTATTTGTCTTTCAATAGTTCGCACAGAAGCCAGTATTTCTTGGATTCTGGTTAATATTGTTTGTAGATTTGCTAAATTGCTGAGCAATATTTCAATGCTTTTTAAAAATGTGTCCTTTATATATTTGGCATATGTGAAAGATTTGCCTTTGGCAGCTACACAATAAGTAATTATGAAACTACATTCGGTCGCTTAGAGTTTCGTTCCAATTGTTTGACAAAAAATGTGACTTCTTTCTTATATCAGGTAACAGCTCTTTTTATAACTTCAAATTTCTCATCGGAATTTTGAAATGGGGACTGATGTTTAGTTTGAAAAATGTCTTTGCATCCCTGATGTATGGCATATGATGCTTTCACGACATAACACACATGCAACACGATTCTTTTTTGTACGAATAGTATCTCATTTATCCAAGAGTCTTGAAAGCCACATATCTTGAAAGCCTAAAGGATATCAAAATTTACAAAAAAAAGCTTAATATTTACTTGTTTACTTTATTAAATATTTCTTTCAATGTAAGTTGTTTCATTTTTTGTGCTAATACTTTCTCTTTAATTCTATAAACAGAAATAATTTCTTGTTCAGTTCCACTGTTCAAGTCCTGTAATTGCTGTGTTGAGAATACCGACTAACTTATCAATCGAAATTTTTTCGTTTTCAGTAACCTCTCTGTCACTTTCTTCACTATCGGAAGCGGTTATTTTCTGGATCTAGAACCATACTACAGATTTCGCTGTCCATTAATTGATTGATGATTGAGGCCTTGTCGTCACAATAAAAAACTTCTGTTATATCATCTTCATTTATTACAGCTTCTCCACATTTCTGTGCAAAATTCAATAGCTGGAGAATTTCGCCTTTAATTTGAGATGTCCGAAAACCTTCAAATTCACAACTATCATCTTCATTGTCCTCACCATGGTAGCTGGCCATAAATTATGCCAAATGGTAGCTGGCCATAAATTATATATGGTAGCTGGCCATAAATTATGCCAAGCATCCAATGTCATAGTCCTCGCATAATTTTGAGACGGATATGCCTTTATCCATTTTTTGCAGCAATTCCACTTTTTGTTTGATGGACATCGAAACATGCTTTTGCTTTGTAGATCCTTTGGCAGCTCCAGAATTGGAAACTCTTTTTGGCATAATCGAAAGTTCAAGCTTAATTTTTATAAAATTGCTCTAACAGTCTGCAAAAAATAATAAGCTGGATTTAATTAGAAGATTAAGGAACGGCGCAATCTGCAACATTAACTGAAATGCCTTAGAATCAGTAAAAATAATTTCAGCCTAGCTTATACCGTCCGTTATACATTAAAAGTGCATGCGTAAAGCATATAAAAAAAAAGTTTGTGGCTTTGAGGTCCGGATTATAGATCATTCCAGATAATGGACGTCCGGATTATGGACTTTTTACTGAACTGGTATATCGGCGTGACGAACCGAACAAAAGGAGAGAAAATGTGGGGGTGGGTCAGTGCAGAAAGCAGAGAGAGGGCGATATTTCTTTATGTGATTTGTAGAGTGGTGTAGAATGCCATTGAGAAATATACTGCTTACCACAGGTTGCCGATGCCTGTTGTAGATTAACTAACAAGGTGGTGAACAGTACATGCGCTGCCTAATTTAAAGAGGGTGAAATGATAATCAAATATATTTTTTAAAAAGGGGGAGCCTATTTTAATTTGCACGTGGGTGGCTGAGAGTCTAGGGTCGGTACTGTATGCACAGTAGATATTTTTTCATTATAAAGCATGTGAAAGGTCCTAATTATTAATTTCAGTTTATCACTAAATAAAACATCTCCATATTGAAGGAACACAATAATTTATTAATTTTTAAATTTATATGATTAATAATTTGTTGGTTGTTTAGCTGCCTTTTGGTTTGGCATACATCTCAAACCAAAAGATTCCACCAAAGTTCATAGCTAATTTTATGGCTTCTGAATAATTTTCATCCATGATACCCAACCTGATAATCATTTATTATTATTTGCTTTCATCACCCCCCCTGACTATCATCTTTTGGCAACTTGAGGAGTCACCTTGTCTCAATATTCTTCGACATTGAGAAAGCTTATGATAAGGCATGGAGATACGGTATACTCCGGGATCTTCACGAGAATGGCTTGCGTGGCAACCTACCAATTTTCATACAGAATTTCTTGATCGCTAGAACTTTTCAAGTAAGGATTGGCTTTGTTTTTTCAGATGTTTTTGAACAGGAAGAGGGTGTGCCTCAAGGCTGTGTGCTTAGTGTAACACTGTTCAGTTTAAAAATAAATTTTGTATTAAAAGAACTTCCTCCCACCATCTTAGGATCACTATATGTAGATGATTTACAGATTAGCTGTCGAGGAGCAGACATGAGATACATAGAGAGGCAATTGCAGATGGCTCTGAATAAGATCCAAGAATGGTCAGACAAACAGGGATTTACATTTTCGAAACAGAAAACTGTGTGCGTGCACTTTTGTAGGAAGCGTGGTCTCCATCCTGAACCTGAGTTATATCTGAATGGTACAATTATTCCAGTTGCGCCCGAAGTAAAATTTTTAGGAGTGACGTTCGACCAGAAATTGACTTTCCTTCCTCATGTTTTAAACCTGAGAAAGAAGTGTTTAAAAACACTAAATATTTTAAAAGTGTTGGCGAAACACCTCCTGGGGTGCAGAGCGTTGCTCCATGCTTCGCATTTACAGAGCCCTTGTTCGCTCTAGACTGGACTATGGCTCAGTTGTTTATGGATCCGCTCGGTCATCAGTTTTGTTAAAACTGGATCCTGTTCACCATCAAGCTCTGCGGATTTGTTCAGGAGCTTTCAGGACTTCTCCTGTCCAGAGCCTGTATGTTGACTCTAACGAACCATCACTTTATCTGAGGCGTGAGCAATTGTCCCTTTTGCAATATTTTAATATTCTATCACAACCTGAACATCCCAATAAGCTGTGTTTACTTGATAATATATGTAACACTTTATTTGAAACACGTCCATCCTGTGTTCCTACCTTTCCTTTAAGAGTTTGTCCTATCATTGAGGAACATTCCCTCTCAGATATGCTCCCCCACGCAGTACAGAACTTTGAAATCCCACCTTGGGAAAATTCACGGATTCAGCTTCTTGATGTTTTCAAACATCACGTGAAGGCAAGCACTAACGAGATCGTATACAGACTACTCTTCGCTGAGCACAGGCACAAATATAGCAGTTATCTTCCAGTCTATACAGATGTCAAAAGATCATGTTGGGATGGCATTTGTAATTGAAGATCACGTGAAGGACAGATGCTTGAACCATGCTTTCTCCGTCTTAACATCTGAACTAACTGCGATATATTATAGTCTTTTGTACATCTCAAGGCTCTGCCACAAAAAGTTTATAGTTTATACAGACTCGCATAGTGCGCTTAAATCATTGGAAGCTTTTTCTAACACTCAAAATCCAGTAATAGTGGATGTTCTTAAGTTACATATAAACTTAACAGGTCGTGGATATGAAATCCTGTACTGCTGGGTTCCCGGGCATGTGGGAATAAAAGGGAATGAGCTGGCAGATATCACAGCAGAATGAGCTGGCAGATATCACAGCAAAATGTGCTGTTGAACTGTCCGGTCGTCTCATCCCTTTTGGAGACATCTGTTGTGTTCTGAAAGAGAAGATCCGAAAAAAATGGCAGCAACTTTGGGATGTTCAGCTTTAAAATAAATTAAGACATGTAAAGCCTAAAATTGAGCATTGGGAATTAACCAAAAATCATAAGGAGGAAGTTCTTTTGACTCGCCTCAGAATTGGTCATACTAGAGTGACACATAACTACCTTTTAAAAGCTGAAAATGAGCCTGTTGTTTCAAATTGTAATGTTTGTTATCTGTCTGTCATATTTTAATTGAGTGTCCATGTTTTTACAGTCTTCGCCAGAAATATTTTAATAGCTGTGACTTACCTCTCGACCGTTTAATCGGAAGAGAGGTCAATTGTAATTTATTTTATTATTTAAAAGAGATTGGCTTTTATTCACCTAATGTAATTTGTTTTGAAGATTGTGTCTTGAATTTTAAATGTGTGGTTTTAACTTGTTTTTATATGACTTCATCCTCTGGATTTGATACATTAGTCTACTTGTTTTTATTTATTGTATTTTAATTTCATCGATTGTACATACCCCATCTCATGTTTGGCACACTATAATCATCTTTGGTTTTGCGCCATAATCTCTCACTCACTCACTCACTGGAATGACACACGCGGTGATGTCTAAAACATTTTTTTTTTTCTAAATTTTGAAGTAATAATTTTTCATATGTTTGTATCAAACATTACTTCCTTGCTTTCTTTTTCTTGTACACAATTGTATTTTTGCAGCTTATATTATAAAATTTAAATAAAATTTTCTTTTATGTTATGTAGTTTTAACAATTGGACCTTTTTGTTTTGCACTGTGCTGATCTGTAACTTTACTACTTTTCAGATGGATTCAGTTTTTTCATTAAAGCGTCCTTATGATCTTGTGGCCTTAATGCAGCAAGAGAAGCGTGCTATCCTTATTGAAGAATTAAAACAGCAGCTTATGATGCAGAAGGAAGAAATCGATCGACGTGAAGACAAGGAAACAAATTTAGAAGGAAAAATTTATTCCACTGATGAAGATTGTACTGCTGCTGAAAAGCCACTCACGGATTTTGACCTGTATGCTAGTACTGTTGTTCCATTTGGTTTCAAAGAATTTGAGTAAGTGTATCTATCTAATCGTTACTGTAGTTTTAATGGTTAAATATATTTTACTGTAGGAGTGCGATCTGTTCTAGATATATAATGTATTTTGGCTATTTAAATGGCCTGAATTTCAGTGCTTCGCAGTTGTCTTTATTTATATATATAGTATTGTGAAATATATATACTACAATTCTATATTTATGTATATGTAACGGTGAGACACCGAAATTAAAGAATGTTGACTTTCACCAGTGAATGTCAACATTCACATAGTCTCTTGGTGTATGTCCGAAATATTTTCCAAATAGTCTTATTTCTGACTTACACCGGTCATTGTCAACATTTACCATGTACTAATGGTGAATGTTGAACATATAACAATATTATATTTTCTCCGAATAAACGCACTTGAGACTTGAAATAAGAACTTAAGAACATGAGAACCTAAAACACACAATACATTCAAAATGAGAAAGGAAAATAATAGAGGTTAAAAACTTACTTAATTATACAGTACGTTCTAAATGAGAAAATAAAATAACAGTAATAAAAAACTTACTAAATTATGTGGTTCAAATCTTATTTATTGCAACAACTTAAACTATTATGGCACTTTATGACCTCTCTTTTCCACTTTCACCAGATCATATCTGTGATTGTCGACATACTACACCGGTGAGGGTTCGAATATACAAGAATGTAGTGCAATATTCGATCTTTCACCGACGTACTTGGTGAATGTTGATATTCTCCGGTGAAAGTCGACATTCTCCAATTTCGGTCTTTCACAGTAACATATACACACTTCCGATGTTGAAATAACAAGGAGTGGCTAGAAAGTGGTGAAACTTGACATAAAGAGAGAGACAGCAATGAACATTGACCTTTATTTCAAAATGATATGCATAATACAGAGAGGACCACCTTGGACAGCAATACACAAAGCAGCACATCGAGGTACAGAGTCAATGAGACTAGAAATGTCCATTTCCTGTCAACCATTTGCCACAGTTTGTCTTCTGAACATGGCAATGGCAGGGTCTGCAAATGTCGTCCAGGCACATCCCAAATGTGTTCGATTGGTGAGAAATCAGTGATCTTCTAATCTTCAATCCGCTCGCGACTGCAAAAATAATAACTTCCCTAATCAAGCACTCATCTCTCATCAGTTTACTTCAAGAACTAAATTGTATCATTACATACATACATACATATATATATATATATATGTGTGATGATATGATTTAGTTCCTTACAGTAATTTGACAAGAGATGAATAGTTGACTAGGGGAGACATTATTTTGCAGTTTTGAGTGGATTGAGATTAGATCATCACTGAAAATATCAATTACATAGTAGAAGATGCAGAGAACTTTTGAAGAATCACAAAAATCACTGGATAATCTAAATATCTCTTTATTATTTGTTAATCGCCCTGTGTGATCACACATCACAAATGAGGCCAGTCTTCACCCCACAATTTTGATGATGGTGCATTATATTTTTAACAGAAGCAGCCCAGTAAGAGACAATCTTTTAGTAGAGAAAGAACTGTTTATAGTAAAATTTTCCGATAATCTGATTGGCTAAAACTTAAAGGCAATGCAGAAGATGACATAATGCAAAATTAGTTTTCAGATGTGACACAGTTTTGAGAAAGTTATTACTAGAGAGGAAGTACCCAAATTAAATATGAGCAGTTAAGATGCTTTTTAAATTATAATTTTGATTTACATATATATATATGTAAGATAAAAATATATGAATCAAAATTATAGATTTAAACTATAAACATTAATTCTTCCTCTCTATTCTAAAATCGTAATAACTTCTTTGCATTGCGTCATTTCTAGATCACTCTATGATCGGCGCAGCTCTGATGACGTAATCATTGGGAACTGAAACTGGCCTTGTAAACCAAAACTTTTCTCTTCGCGTGCCTCCATCTTGCATAACTACGCACTTCAGCTTTTGCCCTCTACTCTGCTAAGATGTAATTTCGCTGGCTTGCTTTCTATCTTAATAATATCAAAAATGTAAATCTTCTGTGGAAAGGCACAACTAGAGTGCCAAGTGATTGTGGCCACAAATATCAATTGGAAATAAAAATGGAATTAAATCGCTTCTACTGCCAAGTTTTATTTACGAAGTCAACACATTAGCTTACGACGCAATCAGATTACTTCTTCTTCAATATGGATCTAAGCACACATCGACACTGCTCCGGTATTTCCTGTGCTTTTATTATGACAATTAAGTCGACAGGATAGTTTCCTGCAGCCTGAAACCTCAATGGAAAATTTAATTCAGCTCTTCAAATCATCGTTTTGTGATAAATCCAAGATAATGTGAAATAAGTGAATCATCAAGTTTGTTTTTTCAGTGTTTAAAAAATAACAGATCATTCTTCTGCTGTGGTGTTTTGCAAGTGCTTCAAAAAATAATCTCGTGTAGTGTTTACAGATTGAAAGTAATGTCTCGATAAATTGAGAAGTTCGAATGATAGTAAAAAGGAATATTGAATTTGCTTCGCCGATCTCTACAATATTTAGAAAAAAAAGTGCTTTAAATCATCAGTTTAGGAATTAAGCATTACAGCGGGTTCAAGGTCGATCCGAGAAAGTGTTTGCAAGTATGTGCGACAGAAAATTATTTGCACTTCCGCTTTTTCAACAGCTCAAAAATTATTCTATTCGTGTGAATCTAGCTCAGGAACTAAATTATTTAATGTGCTGCGGATTCTATAGTTTTCATTTCAACTGTGGTTAAAATTTCTGCAATTTGTTTGGGAAAATCTGAAATTCTTGTTCATTGATTTTTCTAATTTTTCATAATTATGTGTGAGCAAATTAAGTAACGAATTTAAGCTATTTAAATTTCATAGGGAAGGATATTAAGATAAGTTTTTATGTTTTTGAAATTTTTTTTGAGAATTTTGAATACGAATTTTATAATTATTCTAAAAATAAAGATGTTAAAAATAAGTGAAATTAGTACAGATAAGTAATATGAAATTATGGTAAATGCATGTTAAAATTTATGGGTGTGTTAAGTATAGTATGATGAGGGTGTACTGGTGCCTTCAACAGAGACCTGTAATTACCTCTGTACAGTTGTTCCTTTTACCCTCTTCATGCAAGATAATGTTGGAGGCTCTCATTTTATGAATGCATGTAAATTTTTTATATTATTATTATATTTTTTTATTATGGAATGTATTAGTGCAGTTCTCAAAGGCCAGTTATCTTAACGCAAGGAACGGAGGCCTTTTCATGTAACTGTCTCGGCACCCTGGGCCACCAGTGCAGAGAACACACTGGTTAGCTCAAGAGGACAGCCCTATTGATGGATATGTTTGTTTAGAAGTATTGCGAGGCTTCCAGTTTGGTAAACTCAGGAATTGTAAATGAAAGATGATAACGGTGAAACCATAAATTCTGAAAATCTTAATCCTATTATTTATGATGTTAAATTATAATTTATCAATATGAAAATTAATATCATAAATATTTATGTGCATTTAATTATAAGTAATGATTATGTAAAAATTGATTTTGTTATATTTTGTGATAACAAGAACCTTCCCTGAAGAATTATGATTTGTGAAGCTCTCAAACAAAAGACTTTTGGACTGAAATGCTCAAAAATTCTCTCTAATAGGACTCTAAAAACTTAAAATTGATTATGTTAAAAAAATTGATATTTATAAATTAATACTTTACAGGATCAAAATTTTATTATTATTTATATTTTTTTTAATTTGCTTGTGCTTTAACTCTTCTCTGTCGCTACGCCTTTTTCTTTTTGAAGGGGGGAATATGTAAGATAAAAATATATGAATCAAAATTATAGATTAAACTATAAACATTAATTCTTCCCCTCTATTCTAAAATCGTAATAACTTCTTTGCATTGCGTCATTTCTAGATCACTCTATGATCGGCGCAGCTCTGATGACGTAATCATTGGGAACTGAAACTGGCCTTGTAAACCAAAACTTTTCTCTTCGCGTGCCTCCATCTTGCATAACTACGCACTTCAGCTTTTGCCCTTTACTCTGCTAAGATGTAATTTCACTGGCTTGCTTTCTATCTCAATAATATCAAAAATGTAAATCTTCTGTGGAAAGGCACGACTAGAGTGCCAAGTGATTGTGGCCACAAATATCAATTGGAAATAAAAATGGAATTAAAATCGCTTCTACTGCCAAGTTTTATTACGAGTCAAACATTAGCTTACGACACAATCAGATTACTTCTTCTTCAATATGGATCTAAGCACGCATCGACTGCTCCGGTATTTCCTGTGCTTTTATTATGGCATATATATATATATATATGTATATGATTTGTCAGTATTTTACATGATTATTCTGAAATGTGATAGCATACACAAATGTTTTTATGAACTTTGCTAGGTTTCAAAACCTCTTTTCTTATTAAAATATGAATTTTTAATATCAGCAGCTATGAGCGCTATTTTTGACCTACTAGGTCACTCGATGTTTAAATTTTTAATACCTTTTCTACTTTTTATTCTCTCTATATGTAATAATTCCAAATGTGTAGATAAAGACACTGGAACTGCTTACGATACTGCGTAGATGGCTGAGAGACCGTAGTGGCTTGAAGGTGGCTGAGTGGAAAAGCATGATGATGCATTTAGTACAACGGATCTTGAAAAACCACAATCTTTATTTTTCATGTATATCAAACCATCCTTTTGCAGACATGATGTTTCCCAATTATATTTGAATGCAGTTAAGTTCCATTTCGAAGTACGATGTCATCTTAAGCAAGTAAGTGGCAGCAACATGGATGAAATGTGTCTTGCCAACAGGAGAGCTTATATGAAAAAGGGGAGAGTATCATAGTACTTCAGAGAAAGAAGGGAGTGGGAAAAGTTCCTGTTCCGAGTTTTGGTTTGTAATTAATTTAATTGGACAAGAGGTATCTGCATTGCAACATTACGTAAAATAGAAAAACCCCTGGGAGAAAAGATGAACCCAGGGGGAGATCACCAAATTCAGAATGTTAATGTTGAGGTCGCCAATTATTTTTTTAAAACAGCTATCATATTTTGTTGTATCTTTCACACACACATGTATATAAGCATTTATAGTTACTCGCATGTATGCATAAATAAATAAATTGATGATATTCACATACTACAATACAAAGTCTAAGATCTGGACGTCCAATATCCGGAATGTCCTAAAACCTAGACCTCAAAGTCATCACCAACTTAATTTTTTTTGTATGCTTTTCGCATGTGCATGTGATTTCCCCGCTTTGCACATAATAAAACGTGGAGACTCCCAATTTGTAATTTCACTTCGGCACTAAATAAAATACCTCATTATTGAAGAAACAATCATTTTAGCATAAATTTGTATGATCAGTAATTTGGCTCCGTTGCTGCATATCTGCTTAGTATACATCTCAAACCAAAACATTCTACATAGATACATCGTTGATTTCCATCTACTAACGGCCAAATCTACTAACTACCACAACAACGGCAGCCACATTGAACCTCATTTGAATGCAAAATAAAAGGTAATTTCCGTATTGATTTGTATTTGTTAACACTCTATTTTCTATTACACAGCGCCAAATATTCCTTTAGTGGTGACTTTTGGAACTAATTTTTTTTTCCCGCAGAATCCTTCGTCTCCCGCCTTGTTTAATCTTTCTACAAAATGTGGCGTCATTCTCGCAAATAGATTGCTCTACAGAACACTGTGAGCACTGTCAGTTTAATTATGGCCACCCGGTATTAGCACAAAAAACGAAGCAATTTAAACAGCTTGAAAGGAATGTTTGTTAAAGTAGACAACTAAATAATAAGCTTTTTTCCTCTAAATTTTGATACTCTTTAATAACAAATACCTCATTATTTCATAAATTACGATTTCAGATTTTTAATTTCATTATATCTTCATGCCATCTTACTAGATTTAAACTGATAATCTAATATCCAGAAAAATCCCAAATCCAGGATCGCACAAGTCCCGACGAGTCCAGATCTCAGACTTTGTACTGTATATATGTTGTTATAAACGTTTCAAAAATATCCTTTTGGATATTTTAATATTAAAACATATTTTCAGTTTTTATTTTACTTGTTTAAGTACAGTCAATTGTAAATCTGATCTTCATTTGATATTGATGCTGTGTGTAAATAAACTTTTTGTATAATAAAAATCTCATAAATAGTGTAAATTTGTTCAAGTAGATTGTTTTTTTAATAGTGAAGAGTTCATTGAAAATGCTCCGAAAATAGGCCCAGAGGTTGAATTGCAGAAACCCAATTGCACTGAGGCTATCAGTCTTGATTTCAGTATGCATGCTTTTGAGCATCTTACCGTACGTATATTATGAATTTTCTTGTCTATTTGCTTTTCTTTATTTTAATAATAATTAAATGCATTTTTCATTTTTGTGCTATTGTATTTTATGTTATTTGAAATATCGTATATACCCGCGTATAAGTCGACCCCCCTCACTTCGGCATAAAAAATTCGTAGAAAATAAGAAACCCATGTATAAGTCGACCCCCCCCCCACTTCCGAAATCGATCGAGAAACTTCGGAAAAAATTTTTTAAGTATTACATTTATTCAAAATCATCTGAGAAATAAAAGTAAATATACGATAAAAAATATCTTGGTAATAACAAATCAATCCTCACCGTCCGATTCATAGTCAGATTTGCCAAACTTTCATAGAAATCTTCTGTCGTCATGGCTCGTCATCGTACATATTTTCAGTCTCAAACTCTGTATGTTACAATCCTACTAGAGCCTTCGTCGTTATTTTCACTTTCAAAACAGCATCATCTCTCCGTGCAGTCTAGTTCGTTGCTAATACAACATTTTAAAAATGATTTTATAATCATTTTGGAGGGTATTTTCGTCCAAGCATCTTTAACCCACTGAGCAATAATGTAATATCGGGCTTTTTAATGTTGCCTCCCTTTGTAAATGTTGGTCGACCGTAACTAATCCACTCTGCCCAATATTTTCTAACAGTTACTTTGAAGGACTTATTGAGGCAGACATCTAGTAGTTGAATGACGGACGTCAATCCTCCCGGAATTACGGCCACAGTCGTCGGGAGGAAAACAACTGCATTATATAAAGAAATTTTTTAACTTCCGATTCTTTTAATTTTTTAAGGCCCCGCGTATAAGTCGACCCCCCCCCACTTTGAAGTCTTTTTTTTCCTCCAAGATATCTCGACTTATACGCGGGTATATATGGTATATATTTTTGAACATGCAAATTTTTCTCTCTTTCTCTGTGTATATAATAATAAATAAAATGCAAATAAAGAAGATCGTAAACCAATACCCAGTGATTCATTCTAAGCTGCAATAATTGTTGGTAATACATTGAAAAACTAGCTGGTACTCATCATGTATTGCTGTGCTGCTTAAAGGAAAGAAAGTATTTGTGTTTTAATAAAATGTGCTGTACTCCTTCATTGCTATTGTTGAAGCATTCCAGTTGATATTGGTCAATTTCATTAATAGATTCAGCTGGTTCGGGTGGTAAATTTAATTCTGGAAATTACACTTTTCCACCTGCAGAACACATAACTTGTTTTTCATTCTTTTTGAGGGCTCTGCAATACATTCATAATTTATCCATCTTTCTAATAACCACACTTGGATGAAGACTGTAATCATAATTACCATCGTAATGGAATGCATCAAGATTTAAATCAGCGTGCAGTGTTCGTCTGGATTAAGTACTTGAACATTTTCCAGTCTTGTTTCTTGTTGCTTGTCTGTTTCAGATAAACAGATTTGGGCAGTGGGTACTCGAATGTTTCCCAGTCTTGTTTCCTGTCGCTTGTTTGTTTCCTACAAACAGGTTTGAGCAATGTATTCTCTAGTCTTATTTCTCATTGTTCATTTGTTTCTGAAGCTTGTGATACCTTTTTACTGCCTTGTACGAAGTAAAAAGGAAATATTGTAATCGCGAAAAGTTTCAGGCAGCATATTTCAACGAAAATATCCATTTTGACCGCTATCGAATGCAATTTAACAATGTTTTCGTGTGATATCCGTACGTAAGGATAGAATAAAATACTCTTTTCCTTCAAAAAAATTATAAAACTGCTTTAAAATTAATTCTGAACAGAATTTTTCGTGGCGTCTGTACGAACGTACATACGTATCTCGCATAACTCAAAAACGAGTAGCCTCAGAATGTTGAATTTTGTATATAGGACTGCTATAACAGTAGATTGCACCTCGTATTTTGGTTGCAATCGGCCGCACACCAAACGTATATAAATATATTATATATATATCCACTCTATTACCCGATCTGTGATCTCAGTTTCTTTACTCTTATGTTTGTAAATTGTACATTTGTGCTTTAAAATGAATTATGTTTTTATCTTGTAAGGATTTTTATGCCTTTAGTAAATCTGTGTGCACAATATTTTTACAATTATCAGCATTTTTAAGTTGTTGTTTAATTATCGCTAAGCCTGTTTTTAATGGCGGCATTGATGTTTACATTTGAAACAGAAGACCAGTGGATTTGTTGCCAATCTAGAGAAACTTAGCTTCGCAACAAAAGATAACGCATTCATTTTTATTGCCATTTAAATCATGCCTTAATTTTTTCGAGGAAATAGCGTTTGAGATTTACTTTGTAATTTTTAATATAGAATTTTGAGTTTTTTATGCTTTTGCCTTTGCGAAGTGAGAACTGAATTAATTAAATGAGAATACTCATCATCTGTGAAAAACTGTTTCTGTTTGTTTGCTTAATTCTTTTATCTGTAGTTCTAGCTTTATTATAGGTTGAATAGAACATGTGCAACGATTAGATAATTCTTTAAATGATATACATTTTGTGCATTTGAGTTATAATATGAAGGAATATAATACTGTTAGTAAACCTAGCGCCAGAGTGTCGCTATGGTAAACAAAGTGAATTTTAAAGAATGCATTTATTCTATTTGGTTTATGCGCTGTCGGCGAAGTAGGTTTAATTCAATCTAATAAGTTTAAATAAAATGCAAGAAAAATGTTTATAATTTAATATTCCGTACAAGGAAGTCATGTGGTGTACACATCAGATTTTTTTCTTTAGTGATTGAGGTGTAGATCATAGGGCTATGCAGTCAGTAGGGAAAATGACTGACTCCAACTCCTGGAATTTTAAAGACTCTGACTCCGAATCCCTCATATATATATATATGTAAACGTATACACATGGGTTACAGCTTATTTTTTTAATATAAAAAGTAATAGATGCTACAGGAAAAAAAAATGATGGCATAGCAAATTATTTATATTAATTAGCATTTATTATGAAATGGAAAAACTGGCATTAGTTATTGAAGGGCCATAGATCCGATTTGATGAACTTCAGAGCTGCGAAGAGTCTTTCCACGCTAACTTGAGTAGGAGGAAAAGCTGTTACTATTGGGGACTTTTCAGGATAGATTTTTTATAAGTTCTAAAAGAGGTGTTCTGGAAGCACAATCATATTTCTCTATTTTTTCATTTTTATATCTAAATGCTCCTGGTTCTTTATTTTCATTGGCTTTGCCTTAGCCTTTTCAATATTATCCAAACATATTTCTCAAAATCTAATTTATCTTTGGAAGAGGATGATAGAGACGCAATTGCAATGTCTGCAGTTTGACTGTCCCGATTTAAATTCTCCAATTGTTCTGAGAATAGATGGCTTTCTTTGCCTTTTTAATTTGTTCCTCATCCAAGAAAATTTGGTGTTTCGGATCTACATATATTGAACCCAGCAAGATCTTCATTGTATAGCAAACTAGTTTCTCTTTTCTTCATTGATGAAATGATTCCTTCGGCAATAAACCCTTCATTTCAGAAAGAACAAACATGACATTCTTCCATTCTGCCCCCTGTCAGTTCTTCAGATTGCAGCTTTTTGTGGCTACATACGGTGTAGAAAGAAGAGTTTACAATTCTACAAGATCATTCCACAGTCTTTCTGTTAGTGAAACATTAGAGTTATCTACATCTTCTAAAAAAGTTTGTAATTCTAACAACCTCTTTATCATCTGTACTTTCTTATCACATTGCTTGATCAATAATTGCTCCTTTTCCTGCTCGCTTCCTAAGAATGGCATCAGTTTTGGGAGTTCTTGCTGCTAGTGCTGTTTACCTAAATTTACCAGTGAGATTTGTAACTAAATGAATCAGTTTAACCACTAATGGCAACTATCACATCCATCCTCCTCCCTTATGTTTATTTATTAATACATCAATAAAATAGAAAATAACTATTTACGAATGCATATAGTCCATAAATAAAAATAATAACTCAGCTTGTCATTAATTTTTTTTCAATTCATTTTAATTTCATTTCAAATTCAAACTGTCCAACAAAAATTCGAGTCGGGAGTCAACCTGTTTTTAGCGACTCCAGCTCTGACTGCTTTTACCCTAAAATCTGCCTGACTCTGATTTTGACTCCACAGCCCTGATAGATCGAGCATTCGATTTTCGTTTTGGTGGCATAATTGTTTTCACAGGAAAAGTAATGCTTTATAATGACTGTTACAAATTCACTTTCAAAAACAAAGAAAATGCATGTGATACAGTAAAATGCATGTTAATGCATGAAAAATTAAATATTTGATTCTTTGCTGTGCTTCAGCCAGTAAATGAGTCTGTTTCATGCTGGCACATCTGCATGGCAGTCAACATGAAAAGTTTAAAGAAGACTTTAATAATAGTAATTTTAGTTTATGCACAAATAAAGTAATTAAAGGTACTTAACGTATTATTCTGTCGATTATCAAAACTGGCTACCATCAAACCATAAAAGTTGGCAGAGATCCTACCAAAGTTGCATCATTCGATCTTGTGGAATGCTGAAAGAACTGATGTCACTTTATTTAATAAACAGTCAATATTTGACCCACTTTGTAAAAAGGTGATTTCTACTATTTTGTTAGATCTTTCAATTTTATTGGAAATTTTATTGAAAGAAGCTGTCTACTCACAGGTAATTACTGTTTCTATTACTGTTTGTCAGCCATATTCTGTTAGTGGTTTGCCAGCCATAGTCAGCTGACCATACAGTGTTCATTCATAGATACTTTTCTGATGCTTAGATTCCATAACTTTGAAAATAATCCATTGCTTGCTGTTCTGTGGAATGCAGCCCCTAAACTTTAATAATTTATTTCTAAATGCAAGAAAAAGTTCAATCATGGCTCATAAAAATAAAAGATTGTGTATCAAGAATCAATTTGAGGTTACATCGGACGAAAGCACAGATGTTACGAGTGTGTTGCTATGCTGTGCTTTTCCACGATTGGCTCTAAATCATGCTATTTGGTGAGTTTCTTGGTCAGTGGGATAATATGTAAGTACTTAATTAAATTATTTACTTAATGAAATTGGTTTTGGACCTATATATATAAATACTGATATTTTCCTCAGAATTATTTAAACTACTATTTAATTTTTTTTTCACAGGGTGTTAGAGATCGTCATAATCTTTCATTATCACCAGAGGAAGGTCTTTATCATGCTATTAATGCTGCAGAAAATGTTGATGTGTATGGACATCTGGTGTATGAAGCAATGCAAAAGGTGGTTTTTTTAATATATATTATATTATTTTATATATGATTATTATTTTTAATATATTATATTATTTATATGTGATTATTTTTTTCTTTTTCATTTCAAAATTCTACTTCTTTGTAAAAATGGTTATATGATGAGAATATTCTTAAATACTTCACCCTCATAAAATAGAATTTAAAAAATGTAATTCTGATCATTTATAAAGTAATAGAAAGTATTTTGACTAATTTAAAATATTATATGAGTATAAACTTTAGGAAAGTGGAACAGGTATTCTAGATAGAAAGTAGAGTACTTGTTTTCTTTTTCTTTTGTTATCAATTATTGTATTTGTAAAACCAAACTGATTCAAAATTCAAAGGATATTTAACTTCAGATTATCAAGAACATCCTGAGTGGTGGTATGTTGGTTAAGAGAGATTGACAGTATATACTGTTGAACTCAAATAGAAATCTTACATATTACATGGATGTTTATTACTGTGCTATCCTTGTAAAAAAGGAGTATTTGAAGTCTTTTGATACAAAAGTGTCTTTGAAAGGTTGATGGTAGGAAAGAAAAGCATGAGACAATCTCAGTTTTGATTGTTGATAAAAGTACGTTTTCTCTTTGAAAGTTGGCACATATTTCTGTAGAGAAACTTGTATGGCACATGTTGTCATAATAGTGAGAAAGATTTAAAAAAAAAAAAAGAAAAGTTTTAAAATTAGGATTGAATCAAAATGAAATTCTTTGAAGTGTCGAAGAGTGTCACACACTGTGCTAGCATAGGAATGTTCATATTTTTTTATTTTAAAATAACTCCATTTCATTCATATTTAAAATTAGGAATATATCATTTGTGCTGAAGTAATTCAAGTGTTGATAAATGTTTATGTTTATTGTGTATATCTTCATATATGTATGGAATTCATCTGTTCGTTAATGAGTATTAAAATTTCAGCTACTCATTGATATGAATTTCACTGTTTTGTGTTAATGTGTAATAATTAATATATATTTTAGAACAAAACATCGTGGATATTATTCAATATGGCAGCATATTATTGGAGAGTTCGAGGAAATGCAAGCAATGCAATTGAATGCATTAGAAGAGCTCTGCATTATTCACCTCGGTAAGACCATTACTGATCTAGGTTTCTGTTTTATTTTTAAAATTGTGGCAAATATTAAAAAATTATTTATATCAATTTACTATTATAAAATTACCACCCAGATGGAATTGTGATTAGGGGAGTTGACTGCGATACCAAAGGGCCCGGGTTCAAATCCCAGAGAAGGCATGGTTGTAACTGTCCGTCTCTTTATAGGAGGTAATGGTGGCTGCCTATTATGTGCCTCCACAATAAAATGGCCACCACTCCTTCCGGCCGTAGGAGTAGCCATTGTAGAAAAAAGCAAGTGCTCGCCTTTCGGAGGAAAAAAAAAAATCTGTTATAAAATTTTTTATCTCTTTTTTGTTACATTCTCTTTGTGTTGTATATAAAAATTAAAATATTAATTTAATACATATATTTTGAGCACATTAAGTATAGTTATTTACTGAGAAATGAAAAACACCTTTTTGTTTTATTTGAAAATTAACTAAATAATAAATAATCTTGTTGCATATTGTAACAAAAACTTTTATGCACAAATAAAAGTACTCGTGTAAACCGATAATTTTTTCATATTTAAAATATTGCCTTGTATAAAAAGTATTTTTGCTTATTCAGTACTGAATATACAAATATATAATGAATTCTATTTTTTTTTTTTTTTTTTTTTTTAAAGTAGAATCCTGAAAGGTTCTCTGTCTTTTAACTTTTCAATCCTTCATATAAGAATGATAACTAGAAGAAAAAAGGAAAAGCTTTTATTTGAATATGAAAAGGTATAAGAATATGAACTTAAATATGAAAAGTTTCTAATTAAGGGAAATTTTTAAATCTGTGTTTAATGCAAACCAAATTTAAAAGCAGAGGGTTTAAAAATATATGTATTATGAAGATACAGAGGAAATTTAAAAATGAAGTCCCTTATTAAAATTTTGATATTATAAAGTTCATTTTCTCAGCTTAATTTGGCAAAATATATTCCCCTAAGGGCTGAAATATTTTACATTTTTCCAGGTTTTTTTTTTTTTTTTTTTTTTTTTTTTTTTTTTTTTTTTATAAACTCAAATCAAGAGGTGGTGGCAGCATATTATATCAAGGATTAGCATGTACAAGTACTGAACGTGGAATACTCAATTCTTTCCATAAAATTAAGAGTGTGATGTTAAAAGCAGGAAAGATGATCATTTCAAATTTATCAATGGATGAAAGTTGGCTAACATGATCAAATCAGAATTCAAAATCAACTAAAATTTCAGCAATCACATTCTTTTTTTAATGAATGTTTTTTTTTATGTCACTAAAACTGACCTTTTCAATGTTATGAGTTAAAATATGTAATGGGTTGTTTTAGGTTAGGATCAAAAGATCTAAAAGAAAAAAAAAGTGTGAAGATTAAAGTTTTTTATCTTTTTAAAAAAAATATTGAGGATCTCTCATATAGTGCCAAATATGTTTTAAAATCTAGATTAATAGTAAAAGAAATGATTATAGCAAGTATAATAAGCACATAGATAGTATAAATAGAGACAGCAGATATATGATGCAGTTTAAACTAAAATAAGAAAATAGTGAGCACACTGGAAAGCCTTAAAATGAGGGCTTTTCAGTGGCTGAGCTGTGAAGTTGCTGAACGCTGTTAGCTGGTCTGGGGTTTCAATACCGGTAAACGGGAGGGCTACATGCCCATTTTCGTGTCCCCCCGAATATAATGGGCATATGAGCCAGTTTCCCTTAAAAAGTCCTCCACAAAGGAATCTCTCCCCTTATGCAGTCGAGTGCTTTGCCATAATTAAATAAACTAACCTAAATTTGGTGACCTTGGTGATCCTGCATTAAGTTATTCGAATATGACAAAGCACATGGGGCTAGCTGCATAAGGGGAGTGATACCTTTGGGAAAGACTTTCTGAAGGAAACTGGTTTGTAATTCCATTATACACGGAGAAAATCTTCAAAAGCAAACTTCACCCATGGACCTTATAAGAAACGAAATAACCCACTGGGTGGAGCGTGCATCAACCACATGTCCACAAGAAGTAGGGACGATCTGGTTTACTTTAACACTGAAATCTATGGCATTTGTATCACATAATTGTTTTTAATTGTTAAATGTGATATATGTTTCATAAGTGATGAGATTATGAAAATCACAGTTTTTGCAAATAAAGATTTAATATATCTCATTAAAGCACTTTTTACTGCATTTTGCACATTTTTTTTTCACACCTAATTCTTGTATAAGCATATTTACTTTGGTAAGAAATTAAAACTCTAAAACACAAAATTTATGAACTTTGTGTTTTTGTGTACAAATAAAGTAAAATTAAATAAGATTGATAGTATATGATGCTTTGAAACAAATAAGGTAAAATTAAATTAGCTCTGATAATATTTTAAAATTCTATGTGCATTTTCGGGCAGTGGTTTTTAAAATTAATTATAACATTACAAGATGATCATTTTATTTGATTATATGATCTTTAATTATTAACATTACAAGATGATTATTAATTTAATAATTAATAAAATTTGGAGCATTAATTTTTCTGAGTGTAATGAAAAAAGAAATAAAAGATAAAATAAAATCTGGAAGCACCTTGATTTTATACTATGCCCAAAGGAGCGTTTTTTTTTAATGTTATTACCTTTATTTATAAAATATCACGTTCTTTGCATGTAAAATTCAGTGCAACAGCAATATCGCAAAATATTTTAAAATAGCATATCTGTTATCCTTGCTGGAGATAAAAATGTTATTTTCCGTACGGTGTTGCCATTCTTCGCTTTGAACTCGTTAAGTTTGTTAGTCAAACATTCGTTAAAGTTTTACAAAATATGAAGTGGATTTAAACAAATTCGAAATTAGACTGTGTATGTGCCAATTTTCAGGTGGAATATTGTGTTATTCAAAATTTGATGGCTCTAGATAATACATTTCTTTAAATATAATACAGGGCAATAATATTTGGTGGCAACAATTTGCAAAGTGAAACGAACATTTATAGTGAAACAACGTAAAATGTCATTTCGAAACTAATAGCCTTTCTGGGCTACCACCCCTTTGGGATAATAAAATAAATCACAGTAAATAGAGAAACCATATGCAGAACTAGGAATTTTAAAATATAATCATTATAAAATATGAGCAAAGTAATTATTGCAGTTAAATACAATTTTTAACATTAGAATAAATATATAAAAATGTTTAAAGTGTTAAAAGTGTGATGTCCGTGTCACTATGAAAAGTGTTACTGTGATGTATTATGAAATACAATTGAAATAAAACTCCTTTGCAGAATATTATGCTATAATATTCACCTATAATTAAAAAAAAAAAAAAAAAAAAAAAAAAAGCAGCACTATTCAGCATTTTAAACAAAAACTTTCCAAAAAAATTTTTAATGCATTTTAATGTTTGTTACATATTTACATCAATAAAAAGCATAAAAATTCTAAGACAAAATTGTTTGTTTGATTTTTTCTATTAGTTCAGATTTAAAATATTATTTTTTAAAACAAGTAGTTACACATTTCCTGACAGCATGGAAAAAGCTAAAAAAATATCAAGTCCTGAAAGTATGCAACAGCTGTATAATTATTTGGAACATTGATTATGCATGATAAACATGCTAAATTTTTAAAAAATAATCTCAGTTTCTAAAATGAAAATGTGTAAGAATTCTTATTTGTGAAATGAGGTGCTATCATCATCTTTTTCATGACAATTATACATGCTGCAATAGCCAACTGCTGTTTAAGTTTCTGCAAGTCGTTCCTACTCCTCAGGATGGAGTAAAGGGGACAGCTGGAAATGCATTAGACGAGGGAGAAAATCTATTTCGGTTAATCTATTTCTTATAAGGTTCATGCCTTCACCTAGTTTGCATGAGCTCAAATCTAGGTCGAACCAGCAGTCTTAATCATTCACTTGCTGGTGGGTTGATCATAACATTGAGCTGTCAAAGATTCAGTAATGAGAGATATATGGTGAAGGGTGTGGGAGAAAGAGGGTGAAGATAATCTGTTATTTCATCATCATTTTTGTTTTTTTATCAAATAACAATGTCTACAGGCTCAGTACCTTCCTGGCTTAATTTTGAAAAACGAAATTGACTGTACTGTGGCTAATGGAAAAGGCTTGAAGCTGTTTTTTGTAAGAACTTCACTAAACCGGCATGCTATAACACAATTAAAAAGGATTTTCTCCCTTTTCATTATGTGCTTTCACTGTGTAAATCATAGCACAGTACATCTGGCTAGTAATCAGGAAGTTGAGAGTTCAAATCTCCATGAGGACATAGCTGATTTATTTGCTGTTTACCCCTTAAAGTATTTAAAAGACAAAAGTAAAAATATAGTGGACAATATTAAAGTTAAAATATAGTGTAGTAAAAATATAGTGGACAATAATTTGGCTATTTGGTCTGCTCCTTCTAGTCACCCATGGAGTAGGGAAAAGTGTAAGAAATTTTTACCATCCCCACTGCATGCCTTCATAGTTTAAGTTGAAGCACATCCATTTAGCCATAGGAGATCTAGAATTTGAATCTCAGAGAGTACATAGTCTGCTTTTCATATATCTTCAATAAAGCTAATTTTTTTTGTATTTCTTTTTTTCACTAACCTCCCCCCACCCCCCAAAATATATTAATTTAGGTCTGTTATGAGAGTGAAGTTTCATTGAGGAAAATTGAGATATTAATACACAAAGTGTATATGAAACAGATACATGCCAGTGCAAAATATAAATTTAGGGTGAAATATAAATTTAGTTTTACCAAAGCTGTAAAATTGTATAAGTGTTTTGTGAAAATTATCTTTATTGATAGTGACTGGCTTAAGGGGATCTTCTTATCTGTGGCTGCAAAAATATTCAACACTCTTATCTATTTGGCTCTTCACTGCAGCAGTGTAAATGAAGCAAAGAGTCAAATGAATAAGAAAGAGCAAATGAAAAAGTGAGGTCAAAGATGACATTAACGCAACACTCGCTGTATATTTAGAAAATTAGGAATCAGAAGGAAAAGTCAAAGCTGAGACATTAGAATTTTGAAAGCTTTGGTAAAACTGAATTTGAATTTCTGTTGTATGATTCATAATTTCTGTTGTATGATTGATTGATTGAAGTAGATAGAATTCTGTGATCATGGAAGAGCTTCAAGGAAATCTAGCTCAAAGAATTTTATGGCTAATTTTAAAGAAGCTAAAGTCAGAACTATGGTTAAGGCATTAACTATAATTAGCTGCTGAAGGTTTATTTCTTTTTCTAATTCTATATTTATGTTTTTTAATGTGGAATTATAATGCCCTTTTAACATATAGGACAATATATGTTAAAGCCATTACTTGCCAAGAAATATTATAAATTTCTTAATAATTAAAATCTGGTATGGGATCTTAAAAAAATAAATGGTAAATTTTATTGAGAGAGAAAATAACTTAAGAATTGAACTTGTGAAAACATTTGAGCATTTTTATAATTAACAGAAGTAAATAAAAGGATGACAACAGGACATGTGTGGTTATTTTTAATAGAAAAATGTGTTTTATGGTGGCAAGAAGAGATTTTGATGTCTTTGGGAGGAAAGCCTGCATGGACTATGGATTTCAAGCAATTAAGTTGATCTGCAAGACTGTGAAGAACAAGCCTTAAGAATGTATAAACGGGGAGGGGGGCATTTTTTACTTCCTTGTATGAAGTAAAGGAAGTATTGTAATCACGAAAAATTCCGGGTATCATATTTCAACAAAATTATCTATTTTGACCGCTATCGAATGCAATTTGATGATGTTTTTGCATGCCATTTGTATGTAAGGACAGAATAAAGGACTTCCCCCCCAGACACATTGTAAAATTGATTTAAAATGGATTCAGAAGATATTTCTTTTGTGATATCTGTACATACCTATATCTCACATAACTCAAAAATAAGTAGTCTCAGAATGCTGAAATTTTGTATATAGGATTGCTATAATGTGTAGTTGTGCATCTCCCTTTTTGGGTTGCAATCGGCCACACCAAACATAACATAGAGAGATTACAAAAAATTTTTTAAAAACAAGTATGAACATTTTCCTATATTTTTGTCATAGCTCTGGAAAGGTGGAATTTAGAACTAATTTCCACAGACAAAATTGAAATTCATAATTAATAAATTTCAAATTCCTATAAATGCAAAAAAGAAAAATGGAAAAACCAAAACTTAAAAAGCATAACCAATTCAAAAGAAAAGAATTTAAAGAAACCATGTAAAGAGGAATTCGTCAACTTCATTGCCACTGGAAGGAACATAAAGGAATCTCTTTTCACAAATCCTTCCTTTTCTGTATCCAATTAGCCGATAATCATTTCGGGTTTTTATTATATAGTTCACCCAAGGGGCCACTTAAAGCCAGGGTTAAAGAAACTCGAAAACATAGTGAAATAAACATACTTCAGTGAAATCAATCAAAATTTTACCTTTAACAAATAGTGCGCAATAATCCCAGAATTTAAACGTGGTGAAATATCAAATTTTAGTGAAACAATTAAAACTCACAAGAAGCAATTAAAAACTTCGAGCACTTTCATCAGAACACAATCGAAACATCAGAACACAATTGAAGATCGTTACATCATTGACATGGTTTGCCATTTTTGCTTCGAGAAAGTAATCACTCAAAAGGCTGAAAATTGGAACAAAGGATGGAATTTTGAAACCAAAAGAAACACTTTTAAATACTTCTATAAAAATGTTAATATGACAAGAAGATTACTTATTAAAATTAAATTTAAGTAAATTCTGACTCTTTAAAACAAAAATGGTAATAACAAATATTATTGTGTAAAACTTTAATGAAATTTTAAAATAAATTATTTTTTAAAAATAGTAGACTCAAAAAGTTTTTAATAACTGTTTTGTAGATATGGTAGAAAAATCCATAAAGATGAATTATATATTTTTTAATTTTGTTACAACTATTTTTAGAACTACTGCATTTTTTGCTTTAATTGAATTATGTCATTCCTATCTTCTGGTTAAGGTGTCTTCTTTTAGTTAATCTGCATGCAGTAGTTATAGAATTATCAACAATTTAAAAGTTGTTTAAGTGCAGTTAAGCCTAATTTTTGTGTACCATATTAGCCAATTTGTTTACATTTGAAACTTAGCAGAATAGTGAATTAAGTCGGTTTCTGCATGTTCAATGGTTTTTTTGGCCGACTCAGACCAAAAGTAAACTTTCAGTTTTGGGCAACAAAAAATCTGCCTTGTTGCCTTCTGACCAAATTGTTGTTTTTGCATAAAACTCTAATTTTGATTGTTTTAACTGTATTTGGTGTTTCATTTTTTCTATATTTTTCAATATTTTTATATTCAGTGAGAACTGAATTAATTGAATGAAGAATTAAATTTAAATGAAATGCAGCAAAAAATGCATAATTTAATATTCCATACAATGAAGTCATGGTGTCTGCATTAGATTTTTTGTTTAAGTTTTTTTGATTTGCCATGTGAGTAGAGATGGTTTATGATAAGTAATGGTGATGAAATCTTATTTATGTATCTTATTTATTTGAATTTTAAATGGGAATTAAATTGCTAGATCAGTCAAGTTCACAGCAGATAAAATATTTGTTTAATTCTGTTTATTATCATCAAAAAGTGTGAAAATATCAACATACGTTTTGCGTATTTTGATGATAATAAAGATGATTTGATTTGATGATTGTCATTGATTAAATATGAACTTGATTATCTGTCCATTCAGTTATCAATGTGGTGATCAGTGAATCAGAGAAAACAAGAATATTTATATCTATAGCATCTTTGAAGAATATAAATATTTAAAGGCCCTTAGATTTCATCATTCTAAGATGTTCCTTTATCAAAAATAGGACAGAAACATGAAATAAATCTCACCAATGATGAAGTTCTTTGACCAGTGATTGGAAGGATGTCCTCGCCTGTGGCTTGTTGCTAATGCTGGGACTTGAGTTCAGGAGGAGGGAAAAAATAACTAAGTGATCCTGCCTATATTAGTAGATGAAATATGCATTAATAAAGGGAAGATGATCTGGTAGTGGTTGAATGAATAAAGTACTGGATAACTGTTAATTTTATATGGAGTTTGAATTGGTTATGTAGTGTTATATGAGCATATGTATGGCAGTTATAACGATTTTTCTCATCAGTCTTCTTATGCAGATTTTGTCTGCGAGACTTCGCATTCCAAATTTTTTTAAACTTCAATTTTTTGCATTTGTTCTCATGACTTTTCCTTTGTGACATGTAGAATAGAACTAATTTTCCTTTGCAAGTTCTTCCATTAAGGGATTCTTCTCAAGGTAGAGAGCTATAATATGCTTTGCCACGATTTTTACCATATTTAATGAAGAGATTATAGTTATTTCGTGAGAGAGGATACCCATAGCATCACTCAGTAAGTTAAGTTTGAATTATACCAAAGTTGAAATTTACCAGAATTAGTTAGTAGCTCTAGATCATTTGTTTAGAAGAAGCCATTTCTGCTTAGAGGAGATTCTAAGCGGAAAGGGTCAGATCCCCAGTTAAAATGAAATCCTTGAAATGGGGGGGGGGAGATCCTTTCAGCCTTGTTACATATTGTTGAGGCACATTATACTTGAAATAGAAATAATGGGGCTATGATAGATACACCCTGCCATAACATAGTAAGGCAAAATTAAAATATACAAATTTCATGATTAATTAGAAATTTACAGAACTGGGTAATGGTTACAGATAATTTAATGTACATACTCATAAGAGCATCTGTTTCTTTTAGGAGGTTTCTTGTTGAATCTCCTATCAAAAGAGCTATTTACATATAGAATTAAGTTATTAAATACTTATTTTATTAAAATAAATCTAAACAATGTGTTTGTCCTATAAATTCTTTGATTGAAAACGTTTTTGAATTCTTTCTTAGTGTGAGGATTTAAAATTTTATTACATTCATCCTGATTATATATGTTATTTAGCTTTCTTTATTTTTAACTTTTGAACCCTTAGAGTAAATTTTTAAAATGTTATCATAATATTTGCATAAGTGATAATTCATAAGCAAAAAAATTTTTTTTCCCCCAGAGAATATAAATATGTTGCATTGCTGAGCCTTGGTAATATCTTGCATCATACTCATCTTTCGGAGGAGGCTGCTATTGTTGTTCATGCTGCTGTTGATATAGCTCCTGATATTGCCGTATCCCATTTTACCCTTGGGAATATATATGCAGTAAGTGTAATGTATTGTTTTTTCTGGAAGGTACTGTTATTTTGTAAGTTTTTAATGAAGTTTGAAATTTTTTTAAATTTACATTTTCAATTTACTTTGAAACATTTAAATTTTTGATATTATAATTCCTACTTGAATGAGAATTAAATTTATTAGTACAAATTCCTGGTGAAATGTGAAATTTCCTAGTTCTCATAACATGAATTAGGTGTATAATTATTTAATTACACAAGCATTTCTTTAAAGAATGTGTTTTTAAAAGAGTTTTGTTTACATCCGAGAAAGTTTAGTTATAATATATTTTTGCACCAAAAGGATTGAAGGAAAGATAAAAGGAGAAATAACAGAATGGTAGAGATTCTGATAGAAATTTAGCTTGTAACTCAAAAGTTAATTAAAATTTGAATATAATTATAAAATTTATTTTATTTATTAATATATTTTACTATATATTGGAGTAACCTATATTTGATAATGTTACTAATTCTATGAAATCAGTCATAAATTGAAATTTTTTCTTGTTAAATGTAAAACACGCATTCTTATATGTGACAAAATATAAAGAGAAATGAATATTTTCATATGTTCAAAATGAAAAGTTCTGAAAAATCAGAATTCCAGGAATTTTGCTATAACTTTATGATTTATTATTTTTCTGTAAATTTATTAAGTACTGAACAATAAAATATTTGGAATCAGAGCTGGTTTTCTACTGGTAGAAAATGGCATTTTTTGCTGGTTTTTGTAGAAACAGGTTGTAATCAACTGAAACTAGCAGAAATTGGAAATAACAGGCAGGAATTAAAACACTTAAAAGTTTGTTAATGATTTCTTAGCTAATTACTTATTTATTATATAATTTTAATAAACATTATATCTATTTCAAGAAATGGCATGTCAGTAGACTCAATTTGTAATCTTTATGTACAGAAAGAAATTAAAAAAAAAAAAAAAAAAAAAAACTTATACCCCACCTTACTTTCTTAATGTGTTAAAAGAAAAGATCATTAAGTGAATCAAATGTAAAATGGGGTGATTAATTTTTTATAGTGTTATGTGAAATATGTTTTAAATAAGAAAAAATACAAATGCAATGAGGACTTTTGTGATTCAAGAGCATGTTTTTTGTCTCTTGAAGTGCATGTATATGATAGTGTCCTTTTCCAAAGTAAACCAGTGTCATCTACATTGAACACATCTTGTGATGAAATATTTCCATTGGTAATAATTAAAAAAAAAATTGTGGAAATTTTTTCACAGCTTTGTCAGTATTAGCTGCCTTGCCAGTAATCCCCAAACTGTGATGTTGCTCGTTTTTTTTTTTAATTGATCAAACAATCCTCAATTAGGCACACAAGAGTTGATTGTATTACCCATTTCTTTTCATATAAAATTAAAAATGCTTTTTCCTTTTGCCATAATTATGGCTTGACCTAAGAGAATCTTATGTTGTGTTTCGTGATCGATTCAAATGCTGAGCTGTTTTTCCATCTGTTCAAAAGCTGAGTTTCTTTATTTCATCACTTCTTTTTTAACATACTTGATAATGTTATAGCAAAATATTTAATTTTTTTTTTCTGTATTGCAAAATTTTTTAGATAGTTGAAGGGGATAACTTTAAGGAACTTGCGATGTCAACTTCTCATTGCCCATCTGTAAATCGATGTTTCACTTATAGTTTTACTTTCAATGAAGCAGCTTTTCTGTTTTTAGAAGAATCCATCTCAGTTAGTGTAATGAATATTGCGAAACTATGAAGACATAAAAAAAGTCTATAAATCACCAAAATAACTAATTATGTACGAAAAAGACGCATGTTAAAGTGTAAGAAAAGCAATATCACATAATATAATGAGTGGAGAGGGAGAGACTGTGATGGAAATTATCATGCATCCACACCATGTCATTATCAGCATAGATCATGGCTTTATCAAAGGCTGAAAAGAGAAGGGATAGTTAATACAGCTTTTCCTCCTGAAACAGGAAATGAGGAGTGATTATGTAATCATGTGACATTGACTGCAAAGATGCAGTTCATAGTAATGAAATCAGCATTTAAAATTTGAAGAACCAGCCTATGCATGAAAAATGTCTATAATTTGGAAGAGACGATGCTACTTCTGTATGCATTTCACATTAAATGTTTTAAAAAATTCTGATTTAATATACATTTCTAATATACATTCGGGTTTAATATATTTATTATTTACAATTTATTTATTTATTCTGATATAGATACTACTCTTTAATGCTACTCTTTTAACATAAAGTTTCATTTTCCTGAAAGTTGCAGTTTTTCCCCTTTCTTAGTTTAATTATAGTTTTTTTTTTCATCTACAAACTAACTAAGAGAATTCCGTTACTACAGTAGAATTCTAGAAATCAGCAAAGCTTGGGACCAGAGGTTGTGCGGATTTTAGGATTTTGCGGATTTCAGGACAAAAAAGATAAAGCATAATATTCGGACTAAAAGTACAAAATGAATAAGGCGTATTAGATACATTTAATTAAATTATTATATACATTATCACAATAATTTATTATATGCATTAAATTATTATTACGTATATTGATTATATTATTCATTGTATCATATGTATACAGCATATGATACAAGGTTTGCCGATTTCGCCTCATGCAAAGATTTCCGGTTTTGGATTCCGGTGTTAGAATCACTGTTGCTGTAAAATTTCAACAGCTTTTCTTAATTTTTCTGTATATTATACACAATCGTGTCGCAATTCCATACCATTCTGCTATAAATCGAGGAGTAGCATCTGCTTCCATCTTTTGCAGAATGTGCACTTTTTGCGTTCCCGTCGATGCAACGTGTTTACGTGGTTTTCAAACGTTGCAAGCAGTAAAATCATGAGTGCGTTTCTTATACGTGATTGTATTAAAAAGGGCTGAAATTAAAAATATTCTTAACTTACCCACAAAATATCCGGATAAAAAATAGGCAGCACTATACAATCTCGTCTCATGAAATGAAATAACAAAGCTCAGAAAATACAACAGGAATCGGTAAACTTGAACAAAGAGTCGAGTGAATCGTCTGCTTCTTACCCCTCGATGCAGATTAGAGGAAAAGAAACTTATCTTATTTAATTTATCTTATTTTTAAAAATTTTTTTATATTAATAATTTGGTATTCCTGTTTTGACTCCTTATTATTCGGTAATTATGACGTCATTTTTTGGTAAGTACTTTTTTCTTCGATATTTCGTACTCAATGTTGCGGTTTCCGGAACCTATAAACTGAATGTTTATATTCTGAGAGGCAACGCGGATTTCAGGAGTTGGCGGATTTCGGATCGGTGGATTTTCGAGTCAAATACCGAATTTTTCACCTTTTTAAAGTTGAGTGAAAAAGCAACTTTAGATTGGCATAGTTTTGAACATGTATGGCAATTCTTTTTTCATTCTGCTAAAAAAGAGAAACTTATGTGTGATTGCCCTTAAAATTGAAAACTTTATTCAAAATTTAAAATCTAATGTGAGATTGTTTTTGGCCTAATTATAAATTTTACACTACCATATTTCTCTTCTGATGTGATATGATAACATATATTTTGAAAATAATTTTCTTACATGTACTCACATCTATATACATGTTACGGTGAAACACCGAAATCTGAAGAATGTCGACTTTCACCGGTGAATGTCAACATTCACATAGTCTCTTGGTACACATCCGAAATATTTTCCAAATACTCTTATTTCTGACTTACACCGGTCAATGTCGACATTCACCATGTACTAATGGTGAATGTTGAACATATAACAATATTATATTTTTCCTCCTCCGTAATTCAGCCGCAAATAAATGCACTTGAGACTTGAAATAAGAACTTAAGAACATGAGAACCTAAAATGCACAATACATTCAAAATGAGAAAGGAAAATAATAGAAGTTAAAAACTTACTTAATTATACAGTACGTTCTAAATGAGAAAATAAAATAATAGTCATAAAAAACTTACTAATTAGTGATTCAAATTGATTCAATCTTTATTGCAACAACTTAAACTATTATGGCACTTGATGACCTCTCTTTTCGACTTTCACTAGAGCATATCTGTGATTGTCGACATACACCGGTGAGGGTCCGAATATACAAGAATGTAGTGAAATATTCGGTCTTTCACCGACGTATTTGGTGAATGTTGATATTCTCTGGTGAAAGTCGACATTCTCCAATTTCGGTCTTTCACGGAAACATACATACAATAAGTGAAATTAAATACAGTATGCTAGATTGTTGTCTTAAGTTTGAGAAAACAACTTTACTCATTTTATTGATAAAGAATTATTTCATTTTTCAGAAGGGGTTAGGGAAGGTCTCCTTTATGGAAAATTACATTGATGTTTTATGTGACAATAAATTATATAAAATACTGAGCTAGCGTTTTTTTTTTTTTTTTTTTTTTTTTTTTTTTTTTTTTTTTTTTTTAATTTTGCTTTTTGGATTTTAATTTTTGAATTTCTAATACAATTTTTTTTTCTGGATGATGTCTCTTTTTTTTCTGTGCACGCACTAAATATAATCAGTCAGTATCATTTTATTAGAATATTATTTTTTTCTTCAAATTATCAATGTATTCTTGTTTATGTGTACAGTTAATGCATTCAGGGATATTGACTGTGTTAAAATATTCATATTTGATTTATTATTGGCATCATCTTTTTCATATTCGACCCCAAAATGAATGTTTTTTGGACTTGATTCATGTAGTGTTTCAAAAGCACTCTGCATTATTTTTCTTTTGTTAGCATAGGACTGGATTTGAACAGATTCTTTTGCTGCAATCTAAGCAAGAAGTTTTTCATGTCATCATCATAAATACTACATAGAAAATATTTGCTGCTAATTGTACCATTCTTCACATTAATAGAATCATGTTTTTGAAACACATATCCAATTTTTTTTGGGGGGGGCTCAAAACAAATCATTCTGTGGGAAAATATGAAATGCAATATCCTTTCTTTTCTTATCACCA